CCCCCACCCCCACCCCCACCCCACGCCCTGCCCCTACCCTGACCCCCACCCTTACCTCCACCCGACTGCAGTGCATCAAAGGACCACACTGCCTCTGTCGGACAGAAGTAGACAAGCAGTAGTTATCGCATCAAGCTTGTCGGCAACATGTAAGTTTTTTTTAAGATATTGTCAGTAATATATTTATTTTTATATAAAACTAACAAATTTTTGTATTAAATTCTACTCCGACATAGACTTTTCATGTCATTTGGGATATCATTCGGAGCAAGTACGACTCAACGTACTTATTGTGGAAGAAGATCTCGATAGTCATTTGAGATCGATAAGTATCGTTCACAAATAAGTTGTTTTTATTTAATCGAACATAATTCCTATAATATTTGCATAAATAATTCTCCTGACGATCTGAGCATGAGTCGCACATTCGGCGCAACTTCGAGCGCAAAGGCAGCGATCGCATCCAAGAAATGTTTGGCAATATCCGGAAATTGCGACAACGTCCTCTATGGCTCGGAGAGGATGTTTTTGCCACGCTGCTTAGGGCTTGGGTTTCTCCGGACTACTAGAAGAAGAGGGAGCGGCAAAACGATACAAGCGGTTAGACTATGGAGGCATGGGCCCCTCCAAGCACACTGGTGGGTGGCTCCCACAAACGGAATACAAGCAGAGGCTGGTAAGATTTCATTTATTCTATAAGGTTTTCTATAGTTCGAAGATGTATTCAAACTATTTCATTTTATGGATAGACCGTGGAGATTGGACGAGAATCCTTCGCTGCCGATGTACATGAGTGCACCCACAGAAGACGGTCCAACTAATCAAGATCAATGACAGATCCCGTGCGATTGAGGTAATTGAAGAGTTAAACTAGTTTGAAGGTAATCATGTTAGCTCTAACTGAATGTAACTTCTTTTGTTTGCAGAAGATATTCCAGCAGCTGAAAAAAAGTCGATCGCATATGTCAGGAGGTATTACGATACGCGAGCATGATCTTTACGACCTATGGAGGGAGGCTGCTGGAGGGAAGATGAAGGGTTGAGTCTAAGGGCTCAGGTCGTAGGGGGTGTATCTGGAGTTTCTACCTCTACCACACAAGATGAGATTTCCAGGCATGTTACGACATTCTCTGCTGAGATGGAGACCAGCTTCTCTCAGATGAGGTCAGAGTTGGATGCCAACATGGAGGCCAAGCTGAAGGCTAAGTTAGATTCCTTTCGGCAATGGATGAGGGAGCATGGCAAGATAGTGGCAGCATTGGAGGAGGAAGCGACAGAGGACAATGAGGATGAGGTTGACGAGATAGAGGGGAATGATTAGGACGGGTCTTTCCCTTTTTTTTATGTTTATATATATTTAAACAAATATTCTTTTTTGTGAACAGTGATCTACATATTTTAGAGTAAATGCATTTTATTTATTTCATTATTTGATTGGATAAATTACTATTTGACAGTTATGTTATTTCATTAAATATTAGAAATTGTATACTAAATGTTGTGATAACAAATGTAGTAATGTAAATACAAAAGAAAAAAAAAAATTCTCTTATGTTATATGTTTCTGATGGGTTACTATTGGTTTTACGACGCTTTCAAACTTATTCGTAGAAAAAACCGACGGCTATCCTTTAGACATATCTACTGACACCTAACCTATACATAAACGATAGCACAAGGTGTGTCACACAAAAACGAAGGATGTGACACTTTTCCAACAGTTAACTCGTCAATTATAAGAAATAACGTGTAAACAACGCTTAACTGACAGTTTTTACCTGCGTAAAAAAATTGACGGGGTGCGACACATTTCTTACTATTAACCCGTCGGTTATAAAAATAATGTATAATCGAAAAATTTTGCCTCCTTCAAAAAACTGATAGGTGTGACACTTTTTTGACGTGTATGTCGTTGTTGATATCATTGGAAGAACCATCGGTTATGCGAACCGACGATTACCGCAGACTCGATTTTTCTTGAAAAAAAACTACGACATTAAATTATCGAATAACCGTCACTAAATTTATATCGTCGAAATATTGGTCAGTTTTGGAATTACCGAAAGGCATTTTACCTACTACTTTAAACCCGTCGTTAATGTTAAAAACAATCATTTTTCTTAACATAACTAATGGATTGTGGTCGTAGGAAAAAACCTAAATTTCTGTAATGATTTCATACATTATCAAATACATGTGTACACATGTTTTAATGTTTGATTAAATAATTTGTTTTCATGTGTTAAGTATTAAAATAATTTTGTAATAAATTATAAAAGTACTATTGTACAACCAATTTACACCTTAACGTTCATTTAAGCTTTTTGGAGTTTCGAGTTTATGGGAACATATAAGATGTGAATTAATTTGATAACGCATCTTTATTCATGTTTCATATCATCAAAAACCTCAATTCCCACCACCAAACCCAAGCATAAATGATGTCCTTACTTAAAAGATTATCCATACATCACACTTAAGATGTACTTCACAATAGCTTATGTTGATAATAAATATTGCTATTTTGGATCTAATATAATCAATATACATTAAAAATTGATATTAAATGAAATCTATGTTAAAGTGAAATATTTTTTGCACAAAAATTTCATGATCTTTGTCTCCTGTTCCTAAAAATCTAAAAGAGTCTCGAGGAATCATCTTTTAAGCTTGGCGGCACCTGTCAGAACTACCACTCCTTAGAACATACCTTTAGTACTTTTAATGCCAATTTTACTAACAAAAAAAGAGTAAATTTTGCTAGTAACGAAGCAAATAAATGCTCTGTTTGACGTAGCTGCAGTTGCGCTGCCCCAAGAAGCTGCTGTTGGGAAGCTACAACGAGAAAGCTGGCTGGTTGTTTGTTGCAGCTGTGTTAAATAGTTATGGGGCAGCTGTTTCTGGAAAAATGACTATTTTGCCCTTGTTTAGTTAAACTTTTTGGAACAGAACAATAACAGTTGAATATATGATACAACAGAAGCGGAAATTCACTTTACAAGCTAAAAAATGTTAAAAATAGACTTCTACAATTTTTAGACAAATTTCTTCTCCATATTTATTCAAAGCCACATAACTATAGCTTAAAACTAGCCCTAATCCCCCAAATTGAGAAGCTAATGCACATTTCACTAATAAGAACATCATCAATAGTACTATCATCATTAGTACTTAGAATAAAGGCTAGATTTGCTCACAAATGCTATATTTTTCAACCCAATAGTCCATTATCAAAATTCCATTTATTTTCTTACTCCTCTTCATAGATTGAGACATAACAAGATAACCATGTCAACCATCAACATTAGTGGTTTCCTATTCATGCGGATTCCCCTCCTATCTTTTTTCACATGACGACGGTTCTTTACTTGTTCTGATAAAGCACGTGTTTCATACCCTACAAATTGAGCTTTCTTGTTGATTTAAGTTATTCTCAATCATGCTGAAAAAGCTTGAGCTGATATCGGCATTTCAATACCATCATATTTCTTTTGCTATATGTTATTGAGCTTTAATTGACCGCACATCACAAACTATGGTTTGATGGAGATTAATGTATAATACACAACTTCAATACTCTTTTGATTTACACTTCTTAGCTGTCAAGTTACTATTTGTAGTTGGGTTGAGAATTGAACCAAGTAGTTACTATTTATTTATAAATTGCATAGGTCGTCGTGTTGGGAGAGATGCAGAAACAAATTTGAGAAATCCGAAGAAAGAATTTAAATAGAAGCACACACAATAAGAAAACACAGGAAGCTTCATTTGACCTGTCAGAAATGTGTAAATCATTTGGAGAATGAATTGCTGAAACTTAGAGGTAACTCGGTCATCCCAACCTCTAAATTAAATTAAAATTAAATCTTATTTTCATTAGCTATATAAGTAATTAATTAACTACATTACAATGGCAGGTGTTTATAGAGTGAAAATGGACAGAGGAGAGCAGACTTGCACCATTGTTGGGATTGTAGAAGAAGAAAGTTGATCAAATATATACACAAGAAGGCGAGCAAACATGGAGAAATCATTCGACAGAAGCAGAAGAGTGAAGCGAAGAAGATTAAAGAAGATGAGGGTGAGAAGAAACAAGAGTCGAAGAGCACAGATGTTATTAGCGTGCCTTATTTCATTCATTGCACGCATGCTCCACAGTGGTTAAGTGATGAAGCCACAAACTCTTGTACTGTAATGTAATTTCTGTTTTGGCTTTAGATTCTGAATTAGAGTTGTGATTGAAGATAAAAATTGCACTGTACATCCATTTTGCACCCGTTCAGACTTATGTACTCCAGATTGGACAAATTTGCATTGTCAATTCATTTTGCAGAGCTTACACCCTTTTATGAAAATATTATAATGTTCCGTAGGCTTCCAAACCAATCCTCCAATTCCTATGTTTTTTCGTATATAACACTTAAACTTAACTTTATACCTTTATACCACCCAAATCTTTCATTTATACCACCCATATGGTTTTATTTTAGATATTTTAAAAAAAGATAAAAGTAAACAGCACATTAACTAAAACAAGGAAGAGCATATTGAACACAACTGTAATAATCCTAAGCATTTTTGATAAAGGATTTACTTGATGTGCCATTAATATATAGACTAACCTCAGAAGATTGAGAACTAAAGGATTCGCCCAACAAAGAGCGATGAAGTTAAAATCACTAAAAAATCTGTAATTTGATTGGAATTCACGAAAATGCCATTTGCTAATTACATAAAAGAAAAAAGGATTAGGAATTATCACTTTTTAGAAAAGTAAGGTTTTAAATTGGTACAAGAAAATGACTTCCCTTGAGATTTACATTACACTTGTACCACACTTAGAAGAATCAATATCCAACTAAACACAAATTTGAAATTCAATCATCACAGTCAGCTCTCTAACAGTTGCCTAAAATAATAATATATACAACACAATTCCCCTAAAGTCAGCAAATGCAAATGTTCGTCCACTAAAATCCCAAAAAATGTGGATCACATCAAAATAATGAAATTTAGAATTGTCGATGATAAGTCTTGTTAGCACCAAAACTAAAGGATTCGCCCAACAACATGAGGAAAAAATGGCATAATATTTGCAATACCATACACTCCGTAGGAACCACATGGCCTGGAGGAGCCGAAGGCATAGCTCTGTCAAAAGTAGGCTTGCTATGTAGTACACACTATCTTATATAAAAAGCAAAAAAAGAGAGTTATTTGTTTCAATCAACGCAATTTCATCCAATTCTGATCAATATTTTTGAAGTGAAGCAAACATGGGTGGTGCAAAAGCATTCATTGTTCAAGGATGCAAAGCAAAAGGAAATAATACACTACAGCATTCAACAACAAAGAAAACCACAAAGAGCACCACAATCATGTGCCAACTATCGCATCTGCTATCCGTTTTCTCAACTCTGTCCTCTCGTTTGTACCTTCCCCGTCTACAGTACATGTGGTGGAAGCATCATCTCCTCATCTGTAAAAGACTGACCTACACAGTATTCAAAGGCTTCTGCAAGCACATGTTCTTCATCATCTTCTGTCAAATGGAAGTCGATATTGTTACGGGAATGATGTCTTATAATGTAATTATGGATAGGCATTGTAGCAAACACAATCTATAACTGCTTGGAGAAATTGTAGGGAGGCATATCACGGAGTATGACCCATTTCTTTTTCCACACACCAAAAGTCCTCTCAATGACACCACGTAATGATGAATGTCGTTTATTAAATATTTCATTTCTGTATCGTGTAACGTTGCTTACACGTGCAAAGTCTGATATGTGATATCTTGTATCAGGAAATGATTTTAGATACCGTCGTTGCAATGGGTAACCAGTATCGACCAAATAATATTTCCCTAATAAATTGAACAATTAATATGGAGATTCAAGTGGGTTCGTCATTCAATGTGCTCAATCCCGAACGTACCTGCAGGTGGATGTGAAAAGTTGGTATTGGGATCCCGCGTCGCAGATTTGAAAACTCGACTGTCACGTGCGCTGCCCTCCCAACCAACCTTAACAAAAGTGAAACATATGTTGAAGTCACAAACGACCATGACATTTTGGGTGGGGTTACCACAACGGCCGATAAATGCAACTTTATCATTATTTGGGATACTTGCGTCAACATGTGTTTCATCAATCACGCCGATGCAGTCCTCGTTGAGTTTATGTTAGGCTCGACATATCAATACATATTCTAAACAAAATTAACTATATAACATCTAAGTGAATACCTTGAAGAAGGTCATATATCGCGCATCCTGTGATATCTCAGCGGGTGTCTGCTCGAACTTATAATCTGAGAGTCTGATGACATGAGAGGACAGACTAACAAGTACACTCAATCCGATTGAGAAGTATCTACTTATTGTTTTGGAGGAGTGCTGAAATCGCTCCATCGCACTT